ATATTCATTTCTGCTTTTTTTCTGTCACATAAAATGTTGATTAAATTTATTATATTTTTAAAAAATGGTGTTTCTTGGTGTTCAGAGATTTCTGATAATATTCACTTAGCAAACATTTGGTGTCTACTGGACAGTGTCTCATGTATAGTTTGGGCTCCCCAAGTTAGAACTTTTATGCCTTTCGTGTGACTATTAATAGTACCTGCCCTAGTTTTCTTCCTATTGCTGTGATAATGTTGAGGCATTCAAATCCACTGGGAAGGCCAAATACTTGGACTCAATCCAAATTTAGATTAAATGAATGTATTCTTACTGCTGGCAGAAGGATGGCAGCCTTAGAGCCAATGCAGCATGCTATTTGGAGGCGGGGTGAATGGGATTTTTAAAGGCGGACGTGGAGAAGGTGTGCATCTCAGCTATCAGTGGAATCCACAGCTGAGCAGGAAAACTGATTTATGTCCCTCAGTTGTTTCTTACTTTCCTTCTATATGGTAACATGAAGACCATTTTATCCCCGTCCCATAGCAATTTCAAGTTTTACAGAAGCAAAGGCAGCAGTTAATACCTCACAGCCCCTTATTCTATTCTTCTTATCTCACCTGCAGGAGCTCCCAGTTATTCCAGAGCAAAAGGTCAAAGGGATGATGCCTGGCTCCATATTAATTTTCTTTAGTCATCACAGGGAGCCTGTGGAAATTATCACTCGAGTCTGAGCACTGTAGTGACTGGGATAGAGCAGTTCATTTTTGGGCAGACAGAAACACAGTACCATAGGGCCGGCTGTCAAGTCCCCACAATAAAACAGCTCAACAAAAGGAGCATTAAGGGAGCAAGAGTTTATAAGACTCACAATTCCAGATTACAGTCTGTTACTGTGGAGAAGTTGAAGCAGGAATTTGAAGCAGCAGGTCCTATCCACAGTCAGGAGCAGAGAATGAGTACTTGTATGCCCGTGCTCAGTTTGCTCTCTTAGACAGTATGAAGCTCAGACCTACCCCAGGGACATCTCCATAGGTCAGCTCGATCTAGATATCCCAATTTCACTCTTCTCAGGTGACGGGTTCTAGGTTGTATCAAGTTGATTGTTAAAATTAACCATCAAAACAGTGTAGTAAGGTCTTTGTAAAAATTTCAAGTGAAAAATCCTTTCCTATTCACTTCATTCTCTCTTCAGCCTCCTTTAACTCAGCTTGCTATTTATAACTTCCCCCCCCCCCCAGCATCTTCTCAGGTTTCTCATAGGAAACTACTACTAACAGTACTAATGCCAAGTAAGAGTCAATCTCCTTGGAAAACTAAATGGTAGACTTTTGCCTACTTAAACGTTTAAGTTTTGTGTTATTTGAGATAGTGTCTTACTGTGTTGTCCAGACTGATCTCAGCACTGAGGTTTAAGTGGTCCTCTTACCTCAGCCTTTCAATTCCTAAGTGCACACTATCACACCTGGTTATACATGTGTGTTTTGTTTTTATTTTTGTTTTGGAGATAGGAGCTTAATGTTTCCAAGGCTGGCATCCAGCTTGATAAAGAGGGAGGGAAGGAAACCATTGAACTTCTGATCCTTCTGCTGAGATTACTAGCTTATTTTGTGGTATTGGGGATGGGACAAGGGCTTTACGAAGCTGAGCTATGCACCGATCTCTTAGGATTTTTCTTACATATACAGAATAATAAAGTCATGTTCCTACTTAGAGAAGTGGTTCACAGCAATTTTTTTTTTCTTGTTTGAATTACCATCATTTTCACTGTCATGCTTTGGGGGGCCATTTTTAAGTAAACCAAATTGAAACAAACAACAGAAAGAAAAAACAAACAAACAAACAAAAAAAGCAAAGCCACAAAATAAGGAATACTGCCTGTCTAGAGACTAACTTTAAGTTTTGTTTCTTTAGTTATAGCCAATTATAATTATAGGAAGAATGTAAGAAAATTTCCAACAGCTGGTATAAGAATGTAGTTTTTTTAATACATAAAAAAAGAAAAAGTTCGATGAGTAGTAGATAGGAATATATAGGATATGTACACATTGGGATGCTGTTTAGTCATAAGAAAAGGTAATTCTATCATTTTTATTAGCACATGGATGTAACACAAATAAAATACCCAGAGACTGATATTGGGGTTCAAGCTTCAAGCTGAAGATCAGGAAAGCAGCCAGCCACTAGCTCAGGCTGAATGGGCTGATCCTCTCTCCATGAGCTCTCACCAAGACTCAGATTGTAACCTCTCCTTAGCGTGGCTGAAGGATGAATGCCTCCTACTCAATAATGAAGACCCTGCTTCTATCTTTTATACCCCTCTAGTGCTGGAATTAAAG